CTAGAGCAGGCATCCCCAGATGTTCTCAAAGACATCCCCAAATGTCTGTGTTTTAACCTGGCATTCAAGGCCTTCCATAATTTGGTCTCACGAGTACCAGTCCATTTGCTGTCCCCAGAGTCCACCTTCATTACCCTGCCTCCAAACTTTCATGTAGGCCGTTCTTCTGCTTGGAAGGCCCTCTCTCAATTTCCATGTAGTGAATGCATCTTTGAGATGCATTCTGGGAGGTCACCTCCTCCAGGTAGTCTTTGCTGATCCCCCAGGTGGAATTGCTTTCCCCTCCCTGGGCTCTGGGTACATAGTTGCTTCCTCGTGGAGGCCATGAATCACAGCAGGAATCCCATTGTGCGTGGAGAGCAGCTCACAGTTTCCAAATGCCATTCCCTGCTAGTGTGTTGGGTTTGGGTAAAGCAGGCGGGTGAGAGCCACTACCTCATCCGTCTGCTGGGAGGAGGCCCTACACCCTGTGAATGGTGAAATTGGGATTTAAACCTGCGGCTGCCACACCCCCTGCAGCAGGCCCCTCCCTCTCCACCTTTCTTGTGGCTTGTCTTGTGATTCTCTTTCCCTCTTAGACTGAGTAGCACTTTGGTCAACTTCTTTATTTTTTACTTTTATTTTTGTTAGAGACAAGGTCTCCCTCTGTTGCTCAGGCTCCAGTGCAGTGGCTCTGTCATGGCTCACTGCAGTCTTGGACCTCCTGGTCTCAGCTGATTCCCTTGCCTCAGCCTCCCAAAGTGCTGGGATTACAGGCCTAAGCCACCGCTCCTGGCCTAGTCAACTTTTTTTTTTTTTTTTGAGTTAGGAGTCTCACTCTGTCACCCAGGCTGGAGTGCAGTGGCACTCGCAGCCTTGACCTGCTGGGCTCAGGTGATCCTTCTGCCTTAGCCTTCCAAGTAGCTGGAACTATAGGTGCACGCCACCATGCCTGGTTAATTTTTTTGATTTATTGTGGAGACGAGGTCTCACCAAGTTGTCCAGGCTGGTCTCGAACCGCTGGATTCAGGCAATCCTCTCGCCTTGGCCTCCCAAAGTGCTGAGATTTCAGGCTTGAGCCACCATGCCTGGCTTTTTTGTTTTGTTTTGTTTTTTGAATTAGGAGTCTCACTCTTGCCCAGGTTAGAATGTAGTGGCATGAGTCTCGATTTCCTGGGCTCAAGTGATCTTTCTGCCTCAGCCTCCCAAGTAGCTGGGACTATGGGCGTGCATCACCACACCCGGTTAATTTTGGGTTTTTTTTTTTTTTTTTTTGAGTTGGAGTCTCACTCTGTCGCCTGTGCTGAGTACAGTGGCATGCTCACAGCCACTTAGGCATTGACCTGCTGGGTTCAGGTGATCCTTCCGTCTCAGCTTTCCAAGTAGCCAGAACTACAGGTGTGTGCTACCACGCCTGGTTAATTTTTTAATTTATTATAGAGATGAGGTCTCACCAAACTGCCCAGGCTGTTCTCGAACCTGTGGGCTCAGGAGATTCCCTCACCTCGGCCTCCCAAAGTGCTGAGATCACAGGTTTGAGCCATTGTGCCCGGCCACACCTGGCTAATATTAAAAAAATCTTTTAGTAGAGACGAGGTCTTGCTATGTTAGTCAGGCTGGTCTCAAACTCCTGGGCTCAAGCAATCCTCCGGCCCCCCACCCCCCAAAGTGCTGAGATTACAGGCCTGAGCTACCGCTCCTGGTCTGGTCAACTTTTTTTTTTCTTAGATTGCAAAATATAGTTTATTTAGAAAGTAAATTAGAGCGAGAGAGAGAAGAGATTCACCTCCCCAAGTTAAGGGAGGGAGCCAAGGCTAGGAAACATGGCAGCCATAGCTCAAAGAGCCACGTGGACACACCAGACTTTAACCAAGCAATAGCTAGAAAGTAAATTAGAAAGAAAGAGAGAGAGATAGAAGATTTATTTCCCCAAGGTAGGAGAGGGGGTCCAAGCTAGGAAACATGGTGGCCCTAGCTCAAGGAGCCACGTGGCCAGACCATAGCTTAGCAAAGCAATGGCCCTGGTCAACTTTTAATAATGTGCTCAGAAAAGTTCTGTTGAAGGAACAGACACTCCGTATCTATGCACCCTCCCCCTCACTGCCTCTTTATCACTTAACTTAAGCCCATTTGAAGGTGGGGGCTGCGCTCAGGCTCTGGCAGGATGAGTCAGCTGGAGGCCCAGGCCGGCTCTGAGGAGGCAAGAGGCAAACAAGCTCCTTCCCCTCCCCCAAGCTTATCAGTCCCCCCCAGGCCTCAGCAAACGGAATGCTCAGCCTAGGGAGGAGCGCTGCCCCCTGCCGGTCACCGTCACATCCTCACTTACTTAAAAGCTGTGTGACCCTGGCTGTTGCTTCAGCTCTCTGAGCCTCAGACGCTCTCCAGGACATTTTTGGTTGTAAGGATTCAATGAGTAAAATGAGCGAATGCTTGGAAAATAACAGTGTTTATGAAATATGAGTGGCTTCTTCAGGAGGTCACCCATCACCGGGAGCATTTCAGGTAGCAAATTGCTCCCAGCAGTCTGGGGAGCGAGATGGAGACGAAGACTGGCAGAGGCAGTGGGGTAGGGGACCTGATGTCCGGGCAGTGACAGCCTGCTCCATGCAATGACTGACAAGGCCACCTCCACTCCACAAGTGCCCAAGACACGTCAACAAGAAACACACACACAGGTGCCTAGGAGGAGAGGCCCTCGGGACAGGGCAGAGCTCTCTGGGTCCCAGGGCACAACCTGTTTATAGGACACAGACAGACACAGAGCTACACCCTCTATACAAACTCACAAACGTGGGCACACCCTCACAAGCACCAAAGCACCCACACACACAAATACACAGAGACAGAGACACACACAAGATCATAAACATATTCCCAGACGGGCTTCCCAGGCACAAACGGAAACACAGAGCTCTCCCTGGTCACCCCAACACACACGTATCAGGCTGGGGCAGGCGCTGGCACTGCTGAGTCACCCACAGGCAGCTCAGCCCAACAGCGCCGGAGCCGCGTGCGTGCCCCAGCAGGGAGGGGGCAGGGCCTACGGTAACCCTTTAGAAGAGCCGGGTCCACGACTGCGGGGGTTTTCCTCTCTCCAGCGCTTTGATTGAGTCTGAGATGGGGGTGGGGCGGGGGAGGAGCCAAGTCCAGGAGTTCACAGCCTGCTCTCTCCTGGGTGTCGGAATGCATGTGGGAGCAATTAGAAAATACTACTACATCCATTATTAAGCATTTGCATGTGTATTTTCACATACTCTCATTTAATCATCACATCAGCTCTATATAAAGTTGCTACTGTTATGAATTCCGTTTTACCCCAGAGGGGAGGTGGATTGCCCAAAGGCCCAAAGCTGGTAAGTCCAGAGCCCAGACTCAACTGCCTCCAAATTCCGAGCTCATAACCACTGGGCAGCACTGCCTAGTGGACAGGTGGGTATGTAAGCAAGTGAAAGGTTTGTCAGTGTGCTTGGGAACCTGGGTGTGTGTGTGCCAGGTTTCCCCATGGGGTTCACCTGGCTAGGGACTAATAGGGTCTCGTCTGTCCAGATTTTCAAAGGATCCAAAGTTTTTCTAGTGTCTTGGAGCCAAGGTCTAGGGACTCAATCTGACTCTCCTCTACTAGACAATCAACTCCTTTTTTTTTTTTTTTTGAGTCAGAGTCTCACTCTTTCGCCCAGGCTGAAGTGCAGTGGCATGCTCACAGCCACCACAGTCGCCGTCTCCTGGGCTCAGGTAATACTTCCACTTCAGCTTTCTGAATAGCTGGGACTATAGGCATGTACCACCATACCCAACTAATTTTGTGATTTATTGTAGAGACGAGGTCTTACTAAGTTGCCCAGGCTGGTCTTGAACCCATGAACTCAGGCATTCCTCTTGCCTTTGCCTCCCAAAGTGCTGGGATTACAGGCGTGAGCCACCTTGCCTGGCTTGACTGTAAGCTCCTTGAAGGCAAGATCCAGTGCCCTGCAGCCTGAAACAGGATATGACTCAGAGAAGGCCTCAGTGAATTTGGGGTCCAGTAAACCAATTAAGAGTGTATGACTTTTAATTGAGTTATGTATTATATAATAATAATAATTTCAATAATCACAATAAATGTGAACACTAATTGGATGTTTACCCTGAGACTGGTGCTGTTCTTAGCATTTTACATGAATGATTTCATAATTCTTACAACAACCCTTTCAGAAAATACTTTTTTTTTTTTTGAGTTGGAGTCTCACTCTATCACCCAGACTGGAGTGCAGTGGCCGCTCCCGGCTACCGCAGCCTCGACCTGCCGGACTCTGGCGATCCTTCCGCCTCAGCCTTCCTGACACTGGCATATGTGAGGGAGCCCAGGTCTGAAATGAGATGGAGAGGAGGGGTCTTGGACCAGTGACCATGTAAGCCCCTTCCACTGCTGATGGGATAGACCATTAGGAGGGGTGAAATCACTCAGAAGAGTGGCAAGATGGGTAGGAGAGGAACCAGAACCCACATTTATTGAACGCCTGCTGCGTACCAGACCTGTGCTTGACATTTAACATACATTGCTAGTCCTCAAGAAAATATTGTAAGATTTGAAGTTGAGGACACTCAGATTCAGAGAAGTGACTTGTTGAAGGTCACACATGACCAAGTTGTGGGACAAACGATCTAGGCGAATCGCACCAGGGTTCCTTTCCTAGATCATCTATGACCAACCCTAGTCCCCTAATGACCAAACCTAGTACCCTAATGGGCAGCGCCATGTGGCAGATTGCATCATACTTTTGCCATATGACGTCAGAGACCACACCGGTCCACCCAGGAACTCCCTGCTTTTCCCTCCCCTGTCCCCTTGGGTCTCTCTGGAGCCAACCCAGGCTAAAAGTCCTTGCCAGAAGAGGCCACACCTGCGGCCCCCGCCCCTTCCCGGTTGCGACGCTAGCACTCCTCGGCCCGGTCCTCCCCGCCGCCCCGCTGATTGGCAGATGCTTTCACCAATCAGGGGGCCTCCCGGGTCGGGGGCGGGGCCTCAGTGAGAGTTGCCCTGTCAGTGCAGGTGGAGGGCCCCGGCGGGGCAAAGTGGCAGGAACCTCTTAAAGGGCGAGAGCGGCGGAGAGCTAGAACTCGGCCCGGCCCGGCCCGGCCCGGCCAGGTCCCCGCCCCGTCCAGCCCAGGTGAGCCTGGACCGTCTGGGGGGCGACTCCTGGTCCCCGGGAGGGACAGGGTGAGGGACAGAAGAACCTGCTCCCAAGGGCCCGGATCTGCCCGAGAGAGGAGAGACTGGGGTCGAAGAATCCGGGGAGGGGGCTCTAGGGGTCCGGATTCCAGGATCAGAACTTGGGGCTCCAAAGGGGTCTGGGCGTCTCGAAGTTCAGGGTGCGGGGAGGGGCCTGGGCGTCAGGAGAGGGGGTCCAGGAGCTCAGGTCCGGAGCTAGTCACGTCCGGGTCCTGGCTGTCTCGGGCGGGGGTCCGGGGTTCGGTCCCCGCGGGCGGGTGCCCGCAGAGCGGCGCAGCCCAAGGCTGCCCCCCCAGCCCCGCCCTGCCCGGCCCCGCACGCTGTGCCGGGCCCGCCGCAGCGCGGCCGGAGCGGGCGGGCGGCTGGCAGTGCGCGGCGGGAGGGGGCACCCGGCCTCCAGCCCCGCGCCCGGCTCCCGCCCTTACGTAACTGACTTTGAGTTTCCAGACCGAGGATCCGCGAGCTGGGGTGCCGGCTCTGCCCGCCAGGGTGGCCCACCAGTCGCCGCCCTAGCCCCACCCAGCCCCTGCCAGGCTTGCTCTAGAGGACTTCCCTCTGTCTCCGGGTCCCTCCGTCCGGCTCGGGTTCCTCCTGCTCGCTGTCCTCCCACGGTTTCTTGTATCTCTCATCTCTGTGTGGCTGCCTCTCCCTGTCTCTGTCCTCTGCCTTTCCTTAAGAGTGGTCTCGTGCAGACCTACACTTTCCAGCCCACCTCTTTGGCGTAGGGCAGGACCCCGCCCCTCCAGCCAGTTGGAGGCAGGACCTGTCCTGATCCACCCCAGCCGGAGCTTGGCCCTGAAAGTGGGGAAGGGGAGAGTTGGGGAAGGTTATTCCAGGGACCATAGCATATCCTGGGAAGGAGTGACTGAATGTGACCCCCTCAAATTCCTGGACTAGGGTGAAAAGCGGCCCCTTCTTTGCCTCTGGAGCCCTTTTCTCCAGAAGGAGGAGGCTGGGAGAGAGCCTGGCTGGGGCTAGACTTAGGGCAGCTGGGAGTCCCTGTGGGAGCAGCCTGGTGTCATGTCAGGGTCAGGTCCAAAGCTATTGAAGGGGAGAGGGAGGGACCAGAGCACTGGCATCGAGCCCCAGCTTCTGCAAGCTCCCCGCCTCCACCCCAGTTACAGGCTTGGAGGATGGTCTTGGCAGGAGGCTGGGGTGGGAAGGGAGCAGCAGGAGGAGGCCAAAGGGACTCCTTTGTGGAAACAAGGAGGTGGAGATAGAAAAGACAGATCCCCAAGTCTAAGAAGTACCTACTGCTTTTCAAGGCCCTCCTGACTGTCAGAGAGACAGACACCTCAGATATAATTGTAAAAAAGGTGTTCTAGCGGTTGTGAAGTGGGAATTATTCATTCTGACTAGGAATGGGGTTGGAGAGACTTTGCAGAAGGTGGTGGAAGGTTTGGGAAGAAAGGGAGCAGAGAGGGAGGGAGGGCAGGGACAGCTATTGTCCTGTTGGCCTTGCATACAGTAGAACTGGAGTTGAATCCTGTCTTTTCTGCTTCCTTGCTGTGTGACCTTGCATGAGTCACTTCACCTCTCTGAGCCCCAGGTTCCTCCTTAATCAATAATGCAGACCTTACAGGCATTAGCAGAATCAAATGAGGCAATGTGTATGCAGTGACTAGAGTGGTCTGAGAGGAGGCCAGTAGGGGTGTTTTAAGAGAGAATGAAGTGGGGAAGCCCTGAGGTTTCCCTGTATATACAGGAGAGTCGGGTAGGGCCTGCCAGCAACATGGGTCCCTGGTGGAGTGCCCGGGTGTGTGGGTGGCACTCATTGAGGCGAGGAGGCCCCACACCCAGCTGTCTCCTGATTGGCCCATCCCTGCACCACCTAGACCAGGCTGGCCTCCCTCCTGCAGGCCCCAACAGAGACTCCCAGGCTGCCCTACCCCCTAGACCAGTGGGGGTGGAGTCCTGGCGGGGCTGGGCTGGTACCCTTTCTGCAGAGTGGACCCTGGCCGGGAGCCTGGCTGGCTGTGCTGGACAGGAACATCCCAGTCTGGCAGGGAAGTTGCTGACGCTGTGCAGGCCTCGTGGAGGCCCAGACCTCTGCGGACTGGAGCCAGGCCCAGCTGATGGGATGTGGGCTACAGGGTGAGACAGAGGCTGGGGTAGGAGTGAGGAGTAGAGATACAGGGAGCGACCCCTGGAGAGGAAGCCTGAGCTGAAGTGTGGGACTGCAGATGAGTTTCATTTGGTTATTCCCCAAGCCTTTTATGAGCACCTACTGTGTGCCATATACAGGCTTGCCAGCCAAAGTGCTGAACAGAATGTTCACAAAAGGCTCGCTATGGAGTTCACAGTGACCTGAGATTTGTTGGGAGTTTGCTGAGTGAGTCTGTATGATAGTTGCCTGGGGAGGACTCAGAATTTCCCCAGGGCCTAAGATTCTGGTGTTTATTAAAGTGGACAGGATTGTACCTTTATAGTCTGTGGGTCACTCCCTTTTGTGCCTGGGTCTTGGTTTCCCTTTCTGTGAACTGGGTAGGGGAGAGGAGCCTAGAGTCTCTGTGGATCTTTCCAGCCCTCATTACTATAGCTTCAGGGCCTGTTCTGGGACTTGGTCTGCCCCTTACCTTCATCCTACGTGAGGGGATAGGATGGGGCAACATCATGATTGAGTGTGATGGGCCCACAAGTCCTGTTCTTGGCCTGCATTCTCTAATCATAATGAGAGCCACCACCTCTTAAGCACTTACTGTGCACAGCATTCTGTTCTAAGCCTTTAATATGCATCATTAACTCATTTCATCCTTACTACCTCATGAGGGAAGTATTATTCCTATTTTGTAGGAGTAGAGGGAGGTGAATAGATTTGACTGAAGTCACACAGGAAGTGACTGAGCTGGGATTTGAACTTTGGTCTAACTCCAAAGCCCAGACCCCACTAAGAAGGGGAGCCTATGGGAACTGAGGTGCTCACGTTGCTCAGCCTTTGCCTGTGGTACTAACTGCCTGACCTCTGCTGGAGAAGCTCTGTGCTCTGGAATGCTCAGGCTAGGGAGCTGGGAGGCAGGCTGTGCCGTCTGTGCTGGGTGGCCCCCAGGCCCAGCTTAGGGGGAAAGGGAAGAGGGAGAAACCTGTAGGTCAGGGACCAATGGGAGTTTTCCCAGAGGGTCAACCCTTGCCAACTATTGCCCTGTTGCAAGAGCTGGGTGCTGAGACAACCTTGGGTATGTGGTCAATGTTAGGTCTCAGTTTCCCCCGTTTGTGAAAATGGATTTAAGTATGTGCAGAATTTCTTTTTCTTTTTCTTTTTTTTTGAGTTGGAGTCTCACTCTGTTACCCAGGCTGGAAGGCAGTGGCACGCCTCTCGGCCACCGCAGCCTCAACCTGCTGGGCTCCAGCGATCCTTCCGCTTCAGCCTTCCAAGTAGCCAGAACTAAAGGTGCACGCTACCATACCCGGCTAAGTTTTTGATTTATTGTAGAGACAAGGTCTCACCAAGTTGCCCAGGCTGGTCTTGAACCCATGGGCTCAGAAAATCCACTCGCCTCGGCCTCCCAAAGTGCTGGGTTTATAGGCTGAGCCACCAAGCTCGGCCTGTGCAGAATTTCTTAACTGGTGGGTTAGTGGCTGCGGTCAAGGATAGGGTAAAGGGTTAGAGGAGGGGTAGAGGTGGCAGTGACTGAGCCTGAGAGTTTGGGTCAGGAACAGCTTGGTTCCTGGGCTGACTCTTTGACAGCAGGTATTTCAGATGGAAGGACTGAGGTTCAAAGGCTTGTCTGGGATTGTGCAGCCGGTACTGCAGAGACTGAAGGGAAAACCTGGAGAAAACCCAGGCAGCTACAGTCCTGGCTTGGTCACTTAATAGGCTTGGGGATGTGAAGTGACACACTGAGAGGAGATACTTCACCTTGCTGTTCTCATCTGTAAAATGGGAAGAGTCATAATTTCTCCATTGTCCCCCAGGATAGCGTGAAGGTCAAAGGAGATGAAGCATTTATAGACTCAGGTGAGAATGTGGCTGCTGGTTATTTTTCAGTCCAAATCCACAGCTCTGTGTGTTTGTGGTGGGGGGCACTTCCAACAGCCTTTCTGCCGAGGTGCTTTCCCATGGGAATGTGCCCGAGAGCCTGAGAATCACACCATCATTTATTGAGCAGTTGCCATGGGCCAGGCTTTGTGCTCGGCTTCACCTCTTACTGTCTCACTTAACCCCAATGGCAACCTTGTCAGGTAAGTAGTGGCCTCACCCACGCAAGGTCCCTCCGAAACCCATGTCTCCAGCCCCTTTAATGACTGTAGCTAACATGAATAGTTTGCTGTGTGCCAGGCATGGATCCAGATATTTTACATATATTAACTCATGTAATCCTCAACCAACCCTGTGAGGTGTGTACTAATATTATCCCCGTTTTACAGATGAATACATGAGGCATAGAGAAATTTAAAAAACTGTCATGATATCATAAATGGTAGAGCCATAAATGGCAGTCAGGATTTGCCCCAGTTCTGAAGTCTCCCTCCTTGAAGCATGCATCAGGGTTGTAATGATTTACAAGATTGCCTCCTCACTACAGTGTAGGCTCCGGAGGGGCAGGGACCATGTCGGCCTTCTGTAGACAGAGTCCCCAACTCCTGGCACACAGTAATGGTTGGTTAATGTTTGTTCACAGGGACCCTGCTGCCTCTAGTTGGCTGGGCCCTGAGAGGCATGATGAGCTGGGGTGGACTAACAGATGATTACTGGCTAGAAGGTTGCCTGCCCCAGCAAGACCCCAGAGGCAGAGGGAGGGCAGGGTTCCCTCCTGGCCCAGGCACTGACTGAAGAGGGGGTCCCAAAGAGCCTGATTGTTCATTGGTGCTGCTGTGTGTCTCACTGCCGTCCTTTGCTTCCATGTGCCACTGTGGCGATGGCTCCACGACCTCTCACTGACTGGCTGCGTGACTCCAACGCCTGCATCTGGGTGAGTACTGGTTTGACTGACTGCCACG